CTTTTTCAATACCGAATTGAAAGTTAGGGCCAACCTTAGGTTCTTCGTTGGTTGACTCTTAAAGAGGTACCTCAAGATTCAAGAACATTGAAGATTATAAGACAGAGACAGATAAGACTGTGAGATAGAGCCGCCGAGGGCAGAGAAGAGGGACTGAGGCCGGCGTGGCGGCGATCAGAGTTGGATAAATGGGGGCCGACTTCTGTTAATCAAGAAATCAAAAATTCCGAAGGACAACATGTAATTTTTGGTTTTTTAGGGTTTATTGTAACTTTACTTCTCTTTTTAGGGCTTTCTTTCCCTCATTTATAATTTTTATATGATCAGTCTCAAACCTAAAAGATCAAAGATTTAGAATATAATATGAGAAGTTACAAATGATATTTTTATGAGCATTATCTGTAAAAAAAGATTTTTATTTTTTATTTTTGTTAATCACCAATTAACCATCCGATTTTTTTTCATAGCTTTTTGTGTCTAATCTACTCTTATTATATAGCCTGTAGAAAAAATTGGAATATAATTGGAATATAAGGGGTGTCCATGGACACCCTTAACCAAAAGGTAGATTCGCCATGATAATTACCATTTTGTTTAAAATTCTTGCCTCCTCTTTACATTCTTGCTAACATTTTTTTTGACTGAGATTCTAAAATCAATATTATTATCAACTTTTAACATAGACAAACTCCCTTATTTACTATCATATTTGAGCTAAACCACACTCTAATTCAAGATCAAACTAGGATTTATAAAAAAAAGCATGTAAAAGAATTGTGTTTTTTTCAAAACTTAAACATTTGTCAAACGTCATTATATTCGGTTTATACTTTTCCTACAATGATTAGTTGTTTACTATTTGTAATTCAAACCTAGTTTATTGTAATGCGCCTAGCACTAAAATCTCGAATTTATGACCTCAAACACCATCTTTTTTTAATGCTCAAAAACCATATTCTCACATCTCAAAAGGGGAAAGATTCGTCATTTTTAACGTTTTTAGCATGAGACTTGATGAGCCGTTGACATGAAAAGTATGAAAAAGCTAAAGCAGGGGTAAAATATGTATATATGTAAATCATGAAGGACCTTTATGATTTTAGTGGTTTCTTTTTACCGGCAAAACTGTCTTTCAAAAAAACTAGTTTAATGCACAGAAAACACAGCAAGCATTTTCTTGAAGATGCTAAGCTTCAAGATCACGATCTAATCTCTCTCTCTCTCTCTCTCTCTCTCTCTCTCTCTCTCTCTCTCTCTCTCTCTCTCTCTCTCTCTCTCTCTCTCTCTCTCTCTCTCTCTCTCTCTCTCTCTCTCTCCCGTATAGAACATCGGAGAGCTTGATTGATCGATTTCTTTTTATGGGGTGTCCAATAACCGTTAACTTTCTTGTTATGAAGATTCTCTAGCTATCTTTCTTGCTCCGATCTCTTCCACTTTCCGTTCTTTGCTTTCCCAAGCGAAGAATCTCTCTCCATTTCTCCCTCAATGAAAACTATCGCTTTCCTTTCCCTATCAGAGATTCCCAACTTCTTTACTTTCTCAAAAACACAAGCTTTATCAGCAATGATGCCTTTGTTCTTCTGCCTATCTATCTATCTACCTCTCTGCTACCGTTCTTTTTTCTTTCTCAGAGGACGCTTTCTCTGTCTATCTCTCTCTTAGTCCTTTTCATTTACGCCTTTGCTTTTTTGCCTTCTTGGAACTCCGGTGGGAAATCTATACATACCTCCCCAAACCCCACCATTAATGTCTTCTTCAGGGAACGTCAACCACCTTTCTCAGCGCTGTATTTACGGTATGGAGAAAACAAGAGTTTTTCATTTTTCGATCATGGATTAATCCATTTGGTTTTTGCGTTTTATAAATAACATCAGGAAATTGTTTGATGATATGCCTGTATATATGAATCTTAAAATGTAATACTTCCCGAATTAGCATTTGCATGATTATCTTCTGGGTCTTGTTACATATGCAATTTTCCATTTTGGGGGTTTAATTAACGCAGGTGACTTTGTTTCTTCACATGCAGAGAGGAAGTCCTGGTTTATGAGATGGCTGAGTAAACTTTTCAAAGGTGGTTCTAATAATCGCAGGCAGGCTGCTACTACACATCCACGGCCCCCACACTTTATAGGAGACGAAAACATGGTTTTACGTGCTCCTGTTAGATCCTTGGTAAATATACAATCTTGTTTAATTATATATTTCATTTTACAGTATATTGATGGAAAACCCAACAACAAAAATAAAACTTTGCGTGAACTGTAATAATGTCATCTGGTAGCAAAAAGTAGAAAAGTTTGTTTTTGTATCATAGTGCATAGAAGCATATATGCACTTTTTTATTTAATTCCCTGAAATTACGTCATACGTTAATTTCTTAATGCCTCAAATTCTATTAGGACAATCGCTCAAGGACTGATAAAGAGAAGGAAGAATTAGATCGAGCAATTTCACTTTCTTTAGCCGAAGGTTTAAAGAAACCAAATGGTATCTTAATTAATCTTGTCCTTCAAATAATCAATGTTGTTAATTGATCACATGTACTTATATATTTCTTGCATTTGTACAGGCTATGGATGGCGAGCTAAAAATGATGATGATCTTGCAAAATCAGTTCAAGATGACCTTCATTCATCACATCCTCCATATGTTCATAGAGAATATCAGCCAATGGGATATAGGTATACTTAATTAATTATGATCCCTTTTCATCAAATCATATCAATCGTGAATTCTTTAAAATCTTTTCATATATATGTTTATTTTTTAGAATATGTGGTGGTTGCAACCGTGACATTGGTTATGGAAATTACTTGGGATGCATGGGAACATTTTTCCATCCTGAATGCTTTTGTTGTCGTGCTTGTCGTTACCCAATCACAGAACATGAGGTGATTAACATTAGTTTTCCCATTTGGTCAAATGCATGATTTGGTTTTTACAAGTCAAATATGATGATGATTGTGTTGAATGTTTTCTTATTAATTAGTTTCTTTTCTTTTGATTCAAGTTCTCTTTATCAGGGAAGGATGCATACCACAAGTCTTGTTTCAAAGAGCTTACGCATCCCAAGTGTGAAGTCTGCTTTCAATTTGTAATGAATTCTACATAAAACCCTCCCTTTCTTTAATTTGTCCACTTAACTAATTTTTTTGAGATTTCGAATCAAATGCTAAATGTGAATCTAACTTTTCAATTATAAAGATTCCCACAAATGGAGCAGGGTTGATTGAGTATCGATGCCACCCCTTCTGGTCCCAGAAATACTGTCCTGTACATGAACATGATAACACAGCAAGATGCTGTAGTTGTGAACGATTGGAGGTATATATATATATATATATATATATATATATATATATATATATATATATATATATATATATATATATAGTTAATTTCTGCAATTTTTTCACATTTTTATTTATTTATTTATTTTTAATATTTGTGAATTTTATATATAGTCTGTGAATGTGAGATACATATCTTTGGGAGATGGCCGGAGTTTATGTTTGGAGTGCATGGAATCTGCAATAATGGACACCGGTGACTGCCAACCACTTTACCACACAATTAGGGATTACTATGAAGGAATGAACATGAGACTTGATCAACAAATTCCCATGTTACTTGTTGAAAGACAAGCCCTTAATGAAGCCATTGTTGGGGAAAAACATGTAAAAAGATCATTCTTTTTTCCTTTTTCCAGTTCCGGAGTTATTTCTTATTTCTGAATTCTGATACAATAATGGCTTCTTTTTCAGGGCTTCCATCATATGCCTGAAACAAGAGGTCTTTGTCTTTCCGAGGAGCAGACTGTTGCAAGTGTAAGTTTAGTCATGTACTTGATCTATCGTCTTCACGTGGTTTTATATCGTCTGAGTTTTGTGGTTTGATTTCAGATACAGAAAAGACCGAAAATTGGGGGTCATGCGGTGATAGGAATGAAAACTCAACATCAGAAATTGACTCGAAGATGTGAAGTTACAGCGATTCTTGTTCTTTATGGTCTCCCGAGGTAATGTTTCATGATTTTTTTCTCTTTTCTATGAACGATCGATTAGATTTTGAAACTGATGTCACGAAATCAAATTGCAGATTACTTACCGGTGCGATTCTCGCTCACGAGTTGATGCACGGCTGGTTACGTCTTAAAGGTAATCAGAAAACATTTGTTTATTAAAAAATACTTAGGGTTTATGAGTTTTTTCGAAATTGACAGGGTATAGGAACCTTAATCCGGATGTAGAAGAAGGTATCTGTCAGATGCTTTCGTATATGTGGCTTGAATCGGAGATTATGCCCGGATCGACTTCATCAGCTCCGTCGTCATCTTCTTCGGTTTCAAAGAAAGGTGGGAAATCAAGGGTTGAGAATAAATTGGGTGAATTTTTTATGCATCAGATTGCCCATGATGCTTCGCCGGCATACGGAGGAGGATTTAGGGCTGCTAATGCCGCCGTGAATACATATGGCCTCCGTCGTACGCTTGATCACATTCGGCTAACCAGAAGCTTTCCCCTGTGATATTCTTCAAGATTCAGTTCACTCCTGTATTTGGAGGTTTACTAAATTGTCCCTCGAGGATTGAGTTATTAATGGAGGCTTGACCAAGGAACCCAAGTTTTTGTGGGGTCATTTTGGGGAATACACATACACACACGAGGAAGATGACAGGACAAATAAGTGTTATCTTTTAATAAACTTTAAAGTGTTTTCTTTCTCTTTCTATTATTTGGTATTGGGGTATTGTATTTGTATTTGGAATTAACACAAAAAAATGTACTTGAGAAATTAACACACAATTTATTAAAGAATGGAGTATAGCATCCATTTGAGTTCATACTCCAAATATTTGATTGCATTTGGGTTTTTAAAAATTCCTGTATGGGGGTAAACCAATTTTTTCCAACAGTTGACATATAAGTGATAACCCCAATCTAAACAAAAAAAAAAATTACATACACAGGTCTTCTCTGTTCTCTCAACCTATTTTTGTCTCATACAAGAACACGAAATCCTCTACACGATTCTTCATCTCCTTTACTTTCCCTCTTTCATTTTCTTGCGTCCCATCAATGGGAAAGGCTTGAACTTACAATCAAACGTTCAAGCCATCACGTTGAGTGTCTTTTCGAGTACTCAAATTAACGTGTTAAACAAAAACATACACATGACTTAATTAGAACAACAATTCCCCTTTGAATCTTTCGCGCCATTTTCAACCTTAATGGTAGTACCTTTCGTAGGAATAGAAGCAGCTGCTTCCTGAGCAGCCAAGGCTTTCTTGCTTACTATATGATAAATATCAAGCAAGATTGTTTGGAAAGCCTTCTCGACATTATTTGCATCAAGCGCAGAAGTTTCTACGAATGCGAGTTCTTCTTTTTCTGCCAACTGTTGAGCATCGGTTTCTGAAACAGCTCTAAGATGGTTTAAATCGGATTTGTTTCCAGCTAACATGAGGACGATGTTGGAATCTGCATGTTCCCTAAGCTCCCGAAGCCACCTTAAAACGTTGTCAAATGATTGTTTTTTTGTAATGTCGTAAACCAAAAGAGCACCTACAGCTCCTCTGTAATAAGCACTTGTGATTGCTCGATACCTCTCTTGACCTGCTGTGTCCCATATTTGTGCCTTCACTGTCTTCCCCTCGACCTGCATCGCATTATCAATCTCTGTGGGTCATTTCAACAAACATCTTTCGGGCACTATAGAAATATACATCAATTTTACTTTTTTGGGGTGTGTTTATTAAGACCAATCTTATGATAAAACATGTTCATACAATGAAATGCAACATTGCAAACAATCTATTCTGGTGTAAATGTGATATAAAAGAGAAATTAATGTCGATGTAGGATTCCATTGAAAGAATTTGAACAAACATGGGATAAAGCAACAAACCTGAAGAGTCCTGGTAGCGAATTCAACACCAATGGTGGATTTAGATTCCAAACAGAACTCATTCCGGGTGAATCTAGAAAGTATGTTTGATTTTCCGACACCCGAATCCCCGATTAAGACAATCTTGAATAAGTAATCATACTCGTGATCCACCTTATACGCCATTCCTTCTGTCTGTACTCGTCACAAACCTAGAAATTTGGGGAAATAGAAAAAGTTAATCACCAAAAGAAACCCATATGCAACAGCAACAAACGTGGGATCGGTCTTTTCTTCCTTGGAACCCACAGTTTTTTGTAAAGAAAAAGATAAGAAAAGTCAAGAAGCTAACCATGCAGGAACGTGCGATGTAGAAAAACAGTAAACAATGATTAGATTTCCAGACGATTGAGAGAAAGAGAGAAAGAAAGGGTGGAGAAGGGAGGATCCCAAATCGAATACAAAGAAACAGAGGAACCCAATGAACAGGAATTTTAAACGGGGGGAACAATCACGAAAGTGCATTGAATTAAAAATATTCACTAACACCCTCTAGTTTACGTTTGAAATACAAAAAATACCTGCAAGATAATTATATTTTGCCAAATAGAACCATGTAACTAAACAAACAAAGATACACATGCTAAAAACAAATCTTATCCCTCCAAAGCTAGATGTTCGTCTGTGTTTAAGAGAAAATAATTTGTACGGTTACAAAAGTATCCGAAATGAAAATAAAATTATCAGATTTTTCTTTATATACACATTATCAGCAGACTATAGACTTTGTATCGCATTACCATCAAAGTTTAAATTTTGTTTTAAAAATATCATTGGTGTTATCGACATAACAAGTTACTAACCATGTTGTAGTGATAGGTATGCAATCAAGAAAGTTGTCATATAATACCAGAGGCGGAGCTTCAACATTTTATTTGGGGGCGGAAATATAATATGTATAAAAATCGATGAGCCCCTGGCTACAGCCAAAATTTTATATTTTTGGGCCTAATATGTATAAAATTAAAATATAGAGACTAATTGTGATAAAAAAATAGGGGGGGCCACAGCCCCTCCTAGCCCTAATAAAGATCCGCCATTGTATAATACCAATGAGGTGGGTTGTCTAGATTGGTAAACCAATAATTAGAATTCAGACAAAATTTTTTATCCAAAAACACTTTATCTATAAGTAAAAATACCTATTTCTATTAAAATATACATATTTTTTAAAATAGTATATTTGAATAAATTATGTAAGACTACTATTAAAATGTGTACAGAAAAGTTTAATGGTAAATATAAATAAAAAAAAATTAATGATAAAATATGTACATCATCAACACTAAAATCTATGTCAGGTATCATGTGACATGCCATGCGGCTGGTAACCTGTTATGCTTGTAGGGCAAATGATATTTTTTTTAATAAAATATAAACTTTAATGGTGATACGTGTACAAAATGCTATAGTTTGGATCAGATTGTGTTATAGCTAAAGAAAAAATGTTGTTTGTTTTGCAAACATTGTGTGTACATATCTTAAGAACGGCTAACACAAATTTCTAAATTCTATTCTTAAACTACATATTTGTCCATTATGATATTAATTTTCAAATTTATGAAATATAAGACATAAGATAGTAGGACATATATATAACAAATACACATTTATTTAGTATGATTTATGTTTTTATGCATAAAATTCAAAAGCCTAATTCTCTTTATTGAAAAAACACATTATTTAAGACTTAACCATGTATATTAAAATTGCAACGATATTATAAATTTAACCACAGGTAAAAAGAACTATTGAGATATGCCCATATGTTTCTTGACGTTTCCACGTGATGGGAATCTAATACTTGAAGAGTGGAATCATACAGAACGTTTAAGGTTGAACACTAGCACATCCAAAATATTGCTATTGTTTCACAATTTTCCATATGAATTCGGAAAAGATTAATGTGGGCCTTGATTATATGTAGCATTTTTTTAGGGTAAATGTCACTGTAGCCCTACAAAGTTTCATCTTTTGGTTTAAATGGTCTCTTTCGTTTTTTTTTGGCATTTAAGGGGTACGAAGTGTAGTTTTACCAGCTAAAATGGCCCATTGACCTGTTTTAAGAGGTTTCCAAAAGGCATAGTCCACGTCATCTAATGAGTTAACTCTGAGTCAACTCGCCATACACGTCACCGAGTTGAGTTGAATCACTTGCTTGACCCCTAAGGGTCACTGTGGACCTAATATTTATAAAAGGGATGGTTTAATAAATCAAACCCTAAAACTTTATACCCATTCTCGACCAAACATCTACCGACAAGAAGGAGACAATCCCTTTCATGAGATTCACGAGATGGCTACCCTAGCACCGTCACCAGATTCGATTTCGTTAAATTCTCGAGACCGGATGAACTTTAGTAACATACACCCAATATTTTGCGATTGTGGGGAGAGAATGGCAGAAACACAGGTGGAGATGGATCGCATTAAGGAGGAAATATGGAGTGATTCTGTGATATCAAGGGTCGAAATGCTTGTTGTGTAGCGCCAATTAGACCGTAACAATAAGAAGATGCAAGCTATGACTGTTGTGGTGGTGGGACTCGTGGTGGTGACGTTTGGTTTTCTCATGGAGAAAATGCACACTCTAATCTAATAGTGAGTCCGGTGGTGTTTGTTCTCGATGTGTTTGGCTTAGGTTATCTGTGTTTTTTGTGTTTATGTGCAATGTTGTCTAATAGGGTTAATGTGGATTGCTGTCTAGTACCTGAAATCGTTTTTCGGTGTAATCGTTTTGAAGTGGATGATGAAGTCCTGTCTTAGCAGACATTTTGTATAAACGACTATGTAACCGTGTTTAATGTAATGGAAATGATGACCTTTGTTAACTAAGTTATATATTAGTTTAACATTTAAATAAACAATTTTAATAACACTAACCCTAGAAATGTCTCGTTAGTTATTGAGGAACTTGGGGGTATTTTCGTCCTTTCACATTGTAGTCTCCAATATATACCACTCAGGTAGATTCGTTACCATTTTATCCTTGTTTTTGCCGGCTTGTTCTCTCGTTGGAAATTAAAGGTATGAAGATGGAAGGAACCATGAAATCAGTGGAATGTTCTTGTGGGTATGACGCTATAATACGAACCTCAACCACTCGGAGCAACCCATGATGACCCTTTTATGCTTGCCCTAAAAAGGTAAAAAGTGATTGCAACTTTCCTTCGACTTTAGCCTTAGATTTGAAAAGGGTTTTCTGCACAATTCATTTGTTTCTCACAAATATCTAATCTCAGGATCCCCGAAATGGGTTTATTTGTTGGGTAGATGAAGTTGATACAACGAGCACAAGTGGTGAGGCTATCATGATTGCAACTTTGCTTAGGTCGAATAAGAAACTTAAGTCCGATGTTAGGAAGATGAAAATTTATGTATTTCTTAGTTGGGCTATTTTCTGTCATAATAGTGTACAAGTTTTAATGGGTTGTTAATGGTCTTTTTTTTGATGATTTGTAATAATTTACCAATGTGGTTGTGTACTTCTCTTGGAAATTAATGAAAATGCCATTTTAAGTACAAAATTATTGTAGTGGACCACTACACCCACATTATCACTATTTTGCATGCTCATATTTTAATTGGAAATTAGTGTAGTGGACCACAAAAGGGACTGCATAGATATACAATAATGCAGGAAGTTATTAACACAACCATGCACGTCCATTACATAATCATAAGTTGCAAACATCGTACCTCAAATAACATAACAAGACACAACCAAATGTAGTAAAAAACATGCAACAAACATCCATACAACATCCATACGTAAATCCAACAACATCCAACAACTTAAACAGAAAATAAACACATTATCATTATTCAATATCTAGTGGATTAGCACTTGTATTGCCTTCTTCATTTTTTCCTTCAACCCTTTTAGCCAATTGTTTTTTTATAATCCTTTCAGAATATTTCATTTTCCTTGTAGTCTCTTTTCCTTTTGGTTGTGTTCCACTACCTCCTTCACCTCCATTACCACTTCCATTTGTGTTTGTTCCACTACCTCCTTCACCTCCATTACCTCCTCCATTTTCTTTCTTTCTCCTTTTGACCTTAAGTTTTTTGGGCTTGTCAACTTTAGGACATGTAGCTTTGTTATGTCCAACTTCTTTACACACACTACATAAAATTTTATTTCCAACCTTTGAGACCGTGTGCCTTGTAGTCTTTTCACTTAGGTCCTTTCTTCTATTCACTTTTGGTCTGCCTGACATTTTTCTCCTCAATGGTGGTAGTGGTGGACTATAGTTAGTACATGGCCACATATTGCTGCCATTCATCCCATGCATTGGATACTTGTAAGTGTTCTTGTAAACTGCTCCAAAGTACATTGTATCCACATAACTTCCAACATCCCTATTAAGAAAGGAAATGGTTGCAACTGAATGCACACATCCATAGCCATTCAGTTGCCACACTCTACACGAGCAAGTCTTCTTGTCTAAATCCACCACGTAAGACTCAACCAAGTTTCTTGTCTCGAACTGGTTTAAACCAGTTGGTAGAACCTGCCAGTATCTAAAAACATTGGTTGGAAGTTAGTATATGTTTATAGTAATCAAAGTAAACATATTAAATTATATTTACCTTTGAGCTTTTTTTAGTTGATTAAGTAAGGTTGTAATTGCTGGACATGGTTTAAAATCAGGCCATGAACTACCTTTGATGCTCAAATTAAACTGTCTTTCCATAACATAAAATCTAATTTCCTCTAACATTGTGATGATTGGTTTTTTCCTTGCATCTCTTATGACATTGTTAAAACTTTCAGATAATCCATTTTCTACTGCATCACACATCCTACCCTCCTGAAAGAAAGCTCAGCACCATGATTCAGGGTTCTTCTCCATAAGATATTCAAAGGCTGCAGGGTTAAGAAGTTGAATTTCTTTCATTGCTGCATTAAACAAAGGCTCAGTAGATGCTTTGCATGCCCTCCAAAACATCCGCTCATAATGTACTCCAGTGAATCTTTTCCTAAAGTTGGCTACAATATGCCTTACACACTGCCTATGTTCTGTAGTAGGCAAAATGTCTTTCACAGCCTCCAACAAACGCTACACCATAAAGGGAAATTATTAAAACAAACAACTACATTTAGAATAAAATGAAAGGATATGGTAGTTAACATACCTTATGTTGATCTGACATCAAATTAATACCAAAACCATTTACCATTCCTAGATCATCCTTTAAATTCTCCAAAAAACATTTCCAATTCTCTTTGTTTTTCATACAAACAACTGCCCATGCAATTGGAAATATATGATTATTAGCATCCCTTCCAACTTCACATATTAACTCTCCAGTAGATAAGCCTTTCAAGAAACACCCATCTAGATTTATTACTCTTCTGCAACTACCTCTCCATCCTTGCTTTAGTCCCTCAAAACATACGTAAAAGT